GGTTTTTTTCTCAATTTCTTATACTGTTTCTTATAGCAGAGTTCAGTAATAAGTTTTTTCTTCTTCTGAATTATGAGTATCCTATGTCTTATATAGTTTCATTGTGTAAATTAAGAGGGACAACCATTTTTTTTAGCCTATTATAATTAGGGAAGTTACTGATTTTTTAAATTTAGCTTTAATTGTTGAGAAGCATTGAAATAAAATCTTCCAAGAAAGAATTTTTTAAACCCGATCATTAGCTAATTTTTTTTGAAAAATAAATATATGAATAAAAACACTTGCGCAGAAGCCAAATTGAAAAACTGGGTACAGCGAATTTACTTCATCTCTTTATAAGCAAGTTTTATGAGAGAAGGGAAAGAGAGCCTAGTTGATTTGTTTCTGCTTGAAGATTTTAGTATCATATCCAATAGAAAGAAGAATAAATGCTTTAAATTTTGTTTTTGTTTATCATTTTTACTTAATAAGGATAAGCAAATAATATTCTAGTTAAACGTTTAATTAATATACCTAAATACTATGATATAAGGCGAAAATAGTCTAAAACTTTGAAATTAAAGGGGGATAAGACCTCCTACTTTATCTTTTAAGCTGAGCATATTTTACGATGGCAGATTCACCGCTGACAGTAATGTTAAATCTTTTCATTAATTAAAATAACAACATTCAAGTTTTCCTAAATCAACATAAAGATAATTAGAATGTACAGTAAAAACAATTTATAGTAGTAAAAAGGCAACTCATAGTTTTGCTTATATAATCTCAAGAACTGACACATAAATAGTGTTTATTGTTATAATTATTAAATGGAACATAAGCAATCGAAATATTTTCAGTAAAATAATTAAGAATATAAATTATCTTATAAAATTCTTTATTCACTTAGAGTATTTAAATAACAATAAGGATAAGGAGAATTCACTATATAAACCAAATAAAGAGAATATAAATAGTCATCAACTTTTTATTGAAAATGCACATTAATAATTTCAATTATAAAAGGATAATTTTACGATACTAAAACAAGTTTTCATCATACTGAGGAAAAAAAAAAACTACATAATAATAATAAAGAATAAAATTTTTTTTTTTAATCTACTGACTACCTGCTATATGCTATACGTAATTCACTGACAAGAGTAAATGGAGGTTTTGTTTCGTAATCAGTATTTCAAAATTTTAAGACTTTATCGTATCACTAATGATATGGAGAAAAAAGCTTTAGTATCGCAAAATTACGTATTCATTATTGAATATTTAAATCTGAGCGATTATTCAAGATAAGTATTTTTTCGATGAATTAAAATTCACATACAAAATGTCTATATAAAAAAGGAAACCAACATTTATAAACCTACGATTCATAAAAGAAAAAGCTTCAGACATTGTTAAATAAAACAGATGAAAAATAAAATAATTTAAATAATATGGTATTTCAGCTGAAAATAAAACTTTTATTAGAGTATACTGTATAGATTTGCAAGACTTGGCAAGGAATTTAAAACAATCAAGCATAGATAATGGAATAATCATTAACGGAAATAAATTTAAAAGGAAAAGAAATCACTACACGTTTATGCTGGCGGTTAGTGGCACTGATTTCCATTAATTCATATTTAGAAATATAAAGTTATTTTGATTTACTTCATTCTATTTAACGTATATATTCTAAATTAATGATTCAAACTTAGTGGCGTAAATTCTATTTCTGAATCAATTTCAGCGTAGCACTTCAACATTTTCTTAAGTACGTAATCTTAATGAAAGATATTGGAAAATATCTCATTAAAAAAAATAACACTTAAGTTAGATCAAACATTTCAAGAAATGATGACGCAAAAAGTAACAAACTAATCTCAGTTGATTTATTAGTTTTTTTTCTTTGCTTTTTGCTTTTATGAATTGTGTAATTTTAGCTCTATTTTATATAACTCGACATAACAGAAACAGATGCAAAATGTCCGACTGTCCTTTGACAAATCCGTAATTTATTTTAAAAGGCTAAAGGAAAAAAAATCAGAAAATTTATTAGAAATAACAATTCTTAGCGATATCAATGGTACTCTCACTACGCCGTGACCATGACTTTCGTCTTACGAAACATTCTTATTATGCTTATTATATGGCGATTCGCAGATGCAATCGCACGTCAATGCGATTCGTGCATGCATAAGCAATTCCTTTTACATGCAGCTTTTAAACCTTCACTGGCGCGTCTACATACAATATTCCTTTAGTTTCTTTTTTTTTTAAACTAAATGGTAGCATAAGAAATGCCCTCATCGATCGGCGTTCGATTAATCAAGAACTAAATATGTAAAATGCTGTTTATTGAAAGTGAATGTTGACATGAAAATGCCGTGTTTCTATGTAAAAATTAATTAATTAAATAATTAAAATTAATTAATTAAAATTATAGTTTAAATTGAATTTATATGACATAACATTGCAGGACGAAATTTTGAATATTTTTATTTCAGCAATTATTGCAAATAAAATTCAAACTAAAATAAAAAGAATAACTATTAAATTATTAAAAAAATTTAGATTGCTTTATAGGCAGGTACTTTATTTGCGTCACACCAGAGCTGCACTATGGACTAGTGGCGACTATCTGGGGAACATCCCTCCCATTTGCAGAATATTTTCAAATGTTCTGCAACAGGACTTATTAGTTTATACAAATGTTCTGCAAGCATTTCACAGCGAAAAAAAGTTAACTTTACGTTAAAATGCTATATTTTCATTTATTAAATTACAGGATTATACACAGATACACAACATTATTATTTAAACCTGGGAAAACATTCTTGATTTGATACTTTTACAATAAATTTTGAAGTACAAAATTTTGTTTATGACGATGATGATAAATTATTAATAAAATGCCTATGATATGAAGGTCCAAACATTAAAATGAGGGCTGCCTTAAAATCTTTCAAGGGGACAAGTGCCCAGATGGTGCAACATTTGCAAGCACAAACATTCGCTGGTCTGTTGTAATGAATTTTTAAATTTTTCAAAATAATATGCTCATCGCAGTCAAAGCAAGCAACTCTATCATGTTCACGGGCAGACATTTTACTGAAGTTTATATTAGCAGATATTTCATGTTGTGATACATTGCGCAGATGACCTGTTCGGATGTTCCCATCGTTACAAGAGCCAAGTGTCATATCCTTATCTATTCATTACTTGAGAGGAAAGTGGGCGTGATGAATGAGGTGGAAGGAAATGTTCTGCAAGATTATGAAGGGAAGCTTTTAAACCTTCAGGTCATTATGTTCTAAAAAGAATATATGTGATTAGGGTTGGGGATTGTTCTGCAAAACTACCGAAGGCAGGTAGGAGGGGACTCGCAGGAAAACGCTGTCACTTATTCAAGATGCAAACTGTTCTGCTGTTCAGAACGCTATGANAACTGTTCTGCTGGACTTCGTTGTTTTGTGACGTACGTCACAGTTTTCGACACTCTCTGCTTCTGGGGCATCCCTGAAGATGATCCGAAGACATACCATCGCAATTGTGATCCTCTGCAGAGGGGATGGTTCCCCTGCTTTGGTAGCCCGATGACCTGAACCAGAAGTCGAGCACTTTACGGTAGAAAAATTCAACAAGGACCGATACCGCGCACCACGTTCCCCTACGCAGGCTGATCAAAGTGACCACCCATTCGCTTACACACCTCAGCCAGTGATGCTTGACTTTGATGCTCTACTGGAAACCGTGTTATTACGATCAGTTCACTGCCGGACAGATCGCATTATATATTAAATTAAACTTTTATATTGTAGTTGGAAATGACAGTGATACGAAATAATAAAAAATAAAACTCAATAAATAATTTTTTTCCCTAAGAAACTTCAATTAAATTTACTTTATTTTGAATTCCTCTTCAGATCCTTGTCTATATTAAGGAAGTAGCCTCACGATTTGTGATAGCATGATTTTGTACTATCCTCACTTCCCAGACCACCGTATTTTTAATCGAGAGGCAGTATTATTTTTCAGATAAAGACTTTTATTAAAAAAATTGCATTGGCGATCGCAACGCTCGAATACTCCGTCTAGGGAGAGACCGGTTTTATTCCTTCCCTCTCCTCCTCTTTACAGTTGCATAGGAATGTTCTACGATATTTTCCCTTTTTATTAAATAAAAATATGTTTTTAAAATTTCCGTGATGCTTTTCTTTTAAACTATGATTAATGTAGTTTTCAGTTCTATATTGTTTTCCAACTTAAAAGATTTTAATCTATATAAAAATCAAGAGAGAAATTAACGCACTTCCTTCCTCTATGACGCTAGTGGAGAAAGCATGTAAAGCGTTGCCTTAGGTCGAGAGTTCTGCTCTACGCCACCTGCAGCACATTTCGATCCCCAATTACAAGCCAATTTGAAAAACGAAACTAAAGGGCAATTCGACCATTCTCACTGCATGCGATTCATGTACCTCCGATCATTGTTGAGTGAAAATGAGAACCTGATAGGTGAAATATTTTCTTCCACGTATTTTCTTCTTTTCTATTTTGACGGCCATCGGATGTGCGTTCCTTACAATGATTGAGAACAGTCTTAGTTTGTATAAATAGTTAATAATCTGAGCAGAAATAAACAATTTAAACATACGTCAGTACTTATCACCCACATGTTAAGCTTATCTAGTTTATTTGCTGACAATACACATCTGCAACTTTCAAAATAAAACTCAAAGTGAGAGTTATTTAACGTCATACCCTTAAGCTCGATTCATGAGTAGTTGGCATAGTTAGCGCGTAGTGAGCAACAAGCAAAATTAATTTTTAGAATAAAACACATTTCTTTTCAAATATCAACAAAAGCGCATGTCACCAGATACCGAAAGAGTTGCATTTGAAGAAGAGCCTCAGAGCTCAAATAAATCTTGATAGGCTAAATTAAGCCTTACCTATTGAAACGCAGTGCTATAAGCGAAAGCAGAGAGCACGCCGCACTTTACTATACTCAATACTCAATACCGAATGAGCACCATAAACTTTATATAACTTTAGATACTAATCTTATACTTGTTTGCCCTGTTTTGATGAAAATAAATTGTCTTTTGCATGCTTTGCTCCTTAATAAAGAGTAAACACTTTCATTTAACACGTTCTTAATTTAAGTTGTCAGACTTTCGCTCATCAATAATGAAATATGAATATATAAGCATATCTTGTTTTTAAAGTTAATACTTGATCCTAATTGGAGGGAGATTTCCGTATCGTGATACGTGGAAGAATAATCGCCAAGTCTTGGAAACTTCCGGGCAGTGACGCGTGAGAATATCACAGAAAGGGACCAACTAGAAAGGTATATAATTTAGCCCACGGGCAAACATCAAAATTTTTTTTGCAGGTTTAAAATCTATTTGGCACCTTGGCGATTGTTGTTGATGGGACAGATCACGATATGGATCGGATTCAGATCCCCTGAAAATTCTCAAAGCTTAATACTTCCGTAGAACAAATTTTTCTTTTCTTTTTGCTTTGAAATTCCAAATTATTTAATTCCCAATAATTCCTCCCCCAAATTATGGCTTTTTGTAGTTACAATAACTTTTAAAAAATTTTGCAAAGCTAAGTTTGTATAGTTTTAGAATTTTTTACTAATTTTAAATAAATAAATAGACATACAAAGCTATTTGCTTTGTAACACATTCGAAGATCACGAGGAAGAACGATTTATGTCCAGGAAAGCTGATTTGGAGAAAAAACAATTTTGCTCACTGAAGGTAGGATTTCTTCTCAGTATGGCCCTTCTTCATTGTGTAATAACTGAGGGAGAACTCTCCCCCCCCTCGTTATTGATTTGTCAAAATTTAGTGACCCTCAAAATGCAATTTGTGAAAAATAGATTCAAACCGTTCTTCCCCTTTGGTTTGCATTTAGAAGCAAAATTTTTTAATGTAAAATTTTTTTAGCAATTTTTAAATCAGACCAAAAATTTTCTTTAGAGAGCCAAAATTTCTCTTGAACCTCTTTAATCTTGCTCAAAAGTCTTTGTTAAACTGCTTTTGTCTACCTTGAATCATTGAAAAGTTATGCTATATACTTGCTAGTAAGAAATTCTGCAAATAACTAAGCGTGTTGTAATTTTTTTTCTTCTGGTAAGTAATAGTGGTGACTGGACAACTAAAATAATTTTGTAAGCGGTAAATATTTGTTCAGCCACTCAAAATTCCATGTTAGAATGAAGTTTATTATAATTAATACAGTTAAACCCCGATTTTACGTTTTCTGTTGGACTAGCGATAAAAAACGCTCGAAGTGGAATAACGTAAAATCGGAGTTAAGAAAAATCTATGCATATTTTTAAAAATTGACACCTACCAGTTAAATTAATGGAAAAAATGAGTCATCTTTACTTGCTTTTCGTTTTTAGGTACAATTTCGTATACAGCTCGTTCAATACTAACAATTTTTTGCAAATTTGCTTCTTAAAATTGTTTTAGAGTTTTTATGCTTTGTATCGCTTGATCAGCTGTTGGCACGTCTTCTGTTATTTCATCTTCATCGTCATAAGCTCTATCATCGGAATCAGGCATTAAATCACTCATGGAAGGGATTTCTGAAGTAATGATGTCAGTGTCACAGTCGATGTATGCATCATCGACTTCCGGTAGATCCTCAACTTCAGACACGCTACCTTCTTCTTCTTCCAAAACAACAGCGCTCTCCTCCTCCGATATTGAAAGTCTTGCTTTATTGAATCCATTGATAATACACTTTCGTTCGACACTGTCCCAAGCTGAAGATATCAGATAAAGAGCCTCTAGAACATAAATTTTTGCCTTAGAAGCATCCTGAAAGTCACCAGAATCAAGAAACATTAGTGATTTTCTAACCAGTTGCTTCCGGTAACTCTCTTTAAATGATCGCATAGTTCCTAAATCCAGTGGTTGAAGTTTGCTCGTACAGTTAGCTGGAAAAAACTCTATTCACACGTTTTTCAATTTAAGGTTTAAATAAGCAGTGCATTGGTCTAGGAATAAAAGTATGGTGTGCTTTTGGAAACTCATTTTCTTATCCAGTTTTCGAAGAAAATTTTTAAATAATGCTTGCGTCATCCATGCTTTTTTGTTTGAATCGTAATCGGTAGGAAAACATTTGATATTTTTGAAACACCGTAGTTTCTCTGCTCTACCGATCACAAGAGACGTTAACTTTTGGCTTCCATCGGCATTTGTACAGAGCAAAACAGTCAAGCGCATTTTTGAAAGCTTTCCTCCATGGCAATTTTCACCTTTAATTGTCAATGTCTTCTTAGGCAATAGGTTGAAAAACAATCCCGTTTCGTCATTAAATATGTCACTTGGATTATAGCCCTTTAATAAATTTGGCAGAGTTTCTTCTTTCCACTGTTGCACAGGTGTCATATCCACACTATCGGATTCGCAACAGATAGATTTGAAGCATAAATTGTTCCTTTTTTTTAATCGGTGGATCCAGCCATTTGATGCACTGAAGCCTTGGAGTTTAAGCCTTTCAGCAATTTCAAGCTCCTTTTCTCTCAGGATGGATCCATTTATAGGAATCTTTGCTGCTCTGTCTTCCTTGAACCAGTTCATTAAAATTTTTTCTAACTCATCATATGGAGATGTTTTTAAGGTTTTTCTCTTCTTGGCAAATTTTTCCGAGTTTTTCAGCGTTTATTTCTATTGAAGCTTCTTGCTTTAAAATCATTTTCAAAGTTGAATAAGCAATACCCAAAGATTTAGCAAGATCAACTTTAGTGCCATGAAATTCTTTAGCTTTTTCGACAATTTCAGCCTTTTCGGACAGAGAAAAGCATTTTCGTTTCGACATCTTCTTTCGAGAAAAGAACACGGTGACTGGGGTTTGGAAACTGAGAAAAAATGCTATAGCTTTCAAACTCAAACAAAACCGACTGAAAATCTCATTTGGTATGCTAGCACGGAAAAATGAGTAAAACCATTTTGAATAATCAAGCGGGATTTTCATAAAAGGGGTAACGCAAAATCCGGGATTTTTAACATTATCGGTATAGGCAATTTTCACAGATCAGCAGAAAATGACGTAAGAAGCGGGATAACGTACGAAACAAACAACGTAAAATCGGGGTTCCACTGTATATGTAGGTTGCATCTATCATTTATGTTGTAACTTACTATTAACTATTAGCAAGAAATGTTTATAAATTGAATGAATTAAAGTATTGAAATAATTTCCTTTACAGAAAATTTCGATAAAAATGTATATGTTTTAGCTTGCTAAGGATGAACCCTGAATCAGTACAACCAAGAATTTCTAGTTTCAATAAGGTGTGTATCCATTAAAATTATTTCTTTATCAGTATTTGATATTGAAATTGTCATAAAATAGAAAACCTATAATTTATGAAAAAATGAGAGCATATGATGCTTGGAAGCATTTTTCATTTATATTTAATTATCGTCAAATATATTAATTCTTTACTTTTGCCAACCATAAATTTTGTATGGTGGTTTTCTATTTAAGAAGGCAGTGATCTGTATCAACTTTTATAAGGGCTTTATACTTGCTTTTATTTACTTGTAGTGCAATATATTGTTAATATGTTTTTACATCTTTCTTTAATGAAATCAGTTTCAGTCTTATAATAGGTGAATATTTTTCTTGTGAAAATTTTTTCACAGCTTCAAGTAACATCTGGTTTCAATAACAAAATTAAAATTTCAAAGACGTAATGATATCTACATTAGTAATTTCAAATTTTGAAACAATACTGTTCTCAACTTTCAGAATGTCATTCTTTTATTAAGGGAGAGAAGTAGTTCTTAAATCTTTTATTAATAGTTTTAAAAAATAATATATAGTAAATTATAATTGCTGCTGTAATCAGAAATGATAAGTTTCCTCCATAATTAAAGAAACTGCCCAAGAAGAGTAAGTTTCTTCGAATCGAATAAGAAAAAATTGAAGTTCTTTTTCAAAAAGAAAATTCAAATATTAAATCAGTTTTTTAAGCAGTTTATAATTGGGGTCTAGTTTGAATAATAGTATTAATTTCTGAGCTATTTATATTTTTTTAAATATGGAATAACTTAAAATCAACAATTGGAAAGAGAAATAAATTAAGAGAATTTCTTAAGAAATTAAAATAACTGTAGTCCTTCTATATTTTAAGCAAATTGGTATTATAGGACCTTATTTTATGACTATTTTGAGAGCTGTTAAAATGTCTGAATCAAATTTTTTAATGCTACTAAATATAAAAATCTCATACTAAACTATACTACAGTGCAACCTCGAAAATTGGGACTGCCCGCGAGTTCTGAATGTCCGGATTTCTAAAATTTCCTGATTTTAGATACCTTACTTAAATTGATAGAATTATCAAAGTTTCGCATTTGCTCAGTCGATTTCGTGATTAAACGCGCGTGTGTAGACCTCCAACCTCAATTTTAACAACTTAACATAAATATACGCTTTAAACAATAAATAAGAGACATTAAAAATGAAACAGCGACAAAAAGTAGCTTAAAATAATAATATATTTAAATCAATACAATTAATTAAATGTTAACTGAATTATTTCTTAAACATATCAAAAATTGTAAGTTGTTTAGTAGATTTCATTCTATGATTACTTATTTTTTCTTTCACTTTATAGAGTAACATTAACTCGTGTTCATCAACAATGTCTCTTTGCAGTGTTTCCAGATTAGGGGTTTCCCCCCTAAATTTAGGGGGATTTTTTTTATCTTCAGTGGATATTTTAGGGGAATTTGTTTCTAGGGGTTTGTTTCAGGGTCATTTGTGAATTTTACTAGTTTCATTTTGGTTACGTTCTAATACCAAATTTTATAACTGAATGTGTGAGATGGTAATATAAAAATCAATATGTTAAACCAAAGCAAAAAGATTAAGATTTAATTTTAGAACTTAACCCCTTAGTTAAATGTAGTAAGTTATTACTTAGCACGATCAACCTGTGCTTTTGGTGAATTTGAATTCAAATTATTTAAAATTTTTAATGTGCATGGTTTAAAAATAATGCCAAAAGGATAAAGAAAAAAAGAAGAACGTACAAAAGTACAAGAAAGATTGGGAACACGAAAAGCAATTTAAAGGTAAATTAATAGTACAATTGTTCAGCCTTTTCTTTAATTATCAGCACATTATTTCAAATCAGAATATATATATATTTTTGGTGACTGGTGACTGGAAGAAGTGAGTTAGTATTTTGTAAATGTTGTAAAGCTCAGTTAAATGCACATAAAAAAGATTTGGCAAAGTATGTAATATTACAGATATTGTTGCTAAATTTTCATCAATTTGTATTGATGTCGATGAAACAATTGCTGAATGGAATTTACTCTCAAATGTAGATGATTTGAATTGTGATTCTACAAAATCTTTATGGGTAAAAATCAGTGAAATAAAAAATTCTTGAGGAAATTTAAAATTAAAAAATATTTCCACTCTTGTTTTGGCTTTATTAAGTATTCCGTTTACAAATGCAGCTGTGGAAAGATGTTTCTCCATAATAAATATTATTAAAGACAAATTGAGAAATAAAATGTCTATAACTGCAGCTGATGCTATTTTGCACGTTCGATATGAACTTTCTAATGGTTGTTAAAATTTTGTACCTGCTTTTATGCTAAAAATATTTAACAGCGAAAACATATACATATCAGAAAGTATTGACGAAATTATGTTGGATATTTTATCAGAAATTTAAGCATAATGTTAGAATTAAAATATTAAGAAGACTATATTGTTGATAATAAAATATTTATAAAAAAATGTGCGAGACAAAAAGTATTGAAAAAAATATCTTAAATATTTTAGTAGATATTAAAGATAATGTAAGGATTGAAATGCAAAAAAGATTAATTTGTTGAAAAAAAAATATTAAAAAGTATTAAAGCAACGTTTTCTATACATTATTAAACTTTAGTACAATTTTTTAATGCTTATACAGTACAGAACCCGTTATCCGGAAATCAGAAAACCAAAAAACCGGAACGAAATTCAATAAATTTTCCCTCCATTTTTAAAAAAAAATTTTTTTTTTCCTCTTAGGATTTTAGGATTTTTCTTTCTTTTTTGAAAGATGTTTATCTTGCCATCATTTTGGAAATAATTATTAGTGTATTACTTCATCATTTTTCTTCTTTTTAAGATTATTTCCAAATATTTTTTTTTTAGTTGGGTTTAACAATAAAAAAACGGCTTTTTGTAGCGATTCAGAAAACCAGAAAAATCAGTTATCCGGAATAGCGATGGTCCCGATTGTTCCAGTTAATCGGTTCCCTACTGTACTTAAAAATTTTGGGGTTTTCTTCAAATTTTTAGGGGATTTTACAACACTATCTCGGGGTGAACGGTTATTGGCACCTGGCAACACTGTCTCTTTGCTCCAAACCTTTAAGAACACTGTCCATATTACTTAACATTTCATCCAACAAAACTGATCTTTCTTCATTAGGAGTTTTCGCTTCTGTATCACTGTCGTTTTCTTTATGGTCATTACTTAAAACGGCCATTTTTATTTTGTCGTCAGTCATGTGATTGACAACGGGTAATTCGTTGCTGCAACTTATTACCTCCTCAATGTTATCTTCATCGATTTTAAATACGCACTTTTTTGCGTAATCATGAAGTTAATTTATTTCAAGTTTTAAATTTTGAACTTTTGAAAATTTAAAACCTTCAGAATCATTTTCATTTTCAAGAAGAAAGAACCAATTTTCTTTCATCACTCTGGGGAAAAACAAAGTAGTAGAAGAATTCCTTCTCCAGCATGCTTTATCTATACAGCACTGATGAGAATTACTGGAATTTCTTTATCAGCTATGTGCTTTTTTTAGGTGTTTTTTTAAAAAAAATTGATTTGGAACATTTTTTCTGATGAACTGGATGTAAGAGTCCTGATTTTAGAGCTTTCCTGATTTTAGAAGTCCAGATTTTCAAAGTCGTACTGTACTACCAGTCACATATTCAATCTACAAATACGAATAGCGTGCTTATTTTTTATAGACAAATGCTTTTAAGTAGGAATACTCAAACCAACTCTTGTATAATATTGATTTTAAAATTCTGTATTAAAACTGAAATAAATATTTTTAAAAAAAATTGATATGAAAAAATTCTAACTTTCTGTTACTGTTTTAAATTTGAGTTTTTGATATAATAATTATTGCTAAGCAATTGTATTGTTCATTCTTAGTTTCTTTCATTTTGTCCAGTTTTTTCTAGGTTCTCCCAGTGTCATGGTAAATAGGTAACTTCTGGACAAAATATCAACTAAGGCTCAGAGTAAACTGAGGACTATTCAAGTATTCTCCAGTTTCCTGTGACCATGCCGTAAGTTTTCTATTTTCCAAATGAAACAATATTTTTAAAATACTTCATTTACTGTCTTTTGCTTAAGGTTGTAAATGTTCAAAAATGCTGTCTATGTTGTAGAACAATAAAAATTACAGAAAAAAAATTTATATCCTAAATGCCATGAGAATTTTATATGCTGTTAAATTTTTTTTTATTTTTGTTTAAATTTTTAGTTAATTAAGGTTCTTTTTCTTTTCGCAAACTAGCAAAATAAAATTATTTATGATTTTAAAAAAAAGAGTAAAGAAAGTGTTGATGACTTAATTGGTGAAAGTTGTTTTTTGTTTATTTTCGATATTAAAAGTCCTTGTTTCAGAACATTTGACAAAATTCTCGAGAGTATTTTCTGAGAAGTCTTACAATGATTAGAGATTAAAAAACTTTCTTAAAGTTTAGAAGTTAGATAGGAAGTTTAACCAGCAGGTTATCCATTTTAAAAATAAGCAAAAATTAAAATAAAAACATCAAAATAAGAAAGATTTTTAGTTTTACATTAAATTGTTATATTCATAAATATGGTGGATTCATCAATATCATACAGATATTCATCAATATGACTTAATGATAGCTAGACCACCAAACTAGTTCTCTTAAAAGATAAATTTCTCCCGTCAAAATTAAAAATAATTAAAAAAAAAAAGATATTCAGGAGATTAAGATGTGAAGCCCTTAAAATGTCTTTTTAAAAAATTCAACTTTTCATGGTGTAAAATTTTTTCTCTGCTTTCCTTATGGGAGCAAAATATTTACTTGTTATAAGGTTGTGTTTTTATATTTAGCTTAGGTTTTCCCTATCATAAATTCCTTATACCCATTAATACTCTATTAGGGTCTGGTTCTTATAGCAAGCTTTAGTTTTGTGGTGTTATGCATAATAGCATTTGTTTGCTATGTTTAGAAACCTATTATTTTAAACATAATCTCCTTATTATTTTTTAAAAAAAAAGCCTTTTAAAAGGGCATTTTTGTCCCATCGTTTGTTCTAGGTAGGAATAGAGTTAAATAGTTTTTCTGTAAATAGTTTCGAAAAAAAAAGATAGTCAAAGAGGTTTATTATGTTCTGACGACCAATGGAAATTAATTAGAACTAATGGCTCAATTTAGTTGCTTAGAATGTTGTGATTCAGCTGTTATGTGCATATTGGTTCTTGAAATTTTTTTAAAAAAAACTAGTAGTGCTTTAAGTAATTTTGTGCATTCAAAAGCACACACAGTTGCAAGCATTGAGATTAATAGCATTTATTTTGTGCTAGGATATCTGTGATTAATGTTTCTGAAATCATCTCCTCTTAATTAAATCGATTTCATCATGTTCTGATCAAGTTTGCTTCTTTTATTCAACAAATGAGACTTATTCAATATTTTTTATAAATTCACATATGTAAGATATATAGCCATTTTCTTGAGAAAAGGTAAAGAGTCTTCCATGATGTAGGTTTTAGGTTGGGCGGGGGAGTTTCTTTAATACATTACGCGGTTTATTAAAATAGCAAATATTAAGTGTTTTACGAGTGAATGATATTTACTTTTCAGTATAAAAAAATGTTTGCTTTTGGTCACAACTTATAAGCTCAACGAAATTAAGGATTGCTGAAACTGTTGATATATTTTTTCATTTTTTGAAGAGTTTTACTTTTTGTGAGATCTCAATTACGTTTTAATTTTTTTTAAAGCAGACTATAGCTTATGCCATTAATTTTATTAACTTATATGTTCGAAGCATTAAATTTAAGCATACTGATTCTTGAATAATTTAAATCCCATCAATAGCTGTTTACTGTTTTTATTTTGCTGCTGTTATTTTGCTATATATTTTTATTTTATAATTATATGTTCTTATAAAGCTTTATTTCTAGTTTTCAATATTTGCTCATACGTATATATTTTTTTCAATTAGAATGCATTTTTATAAACTTACTTCTTCTGAAATAGGCATTTTCTTAAAGAATTAACTCTGATGTGAATTGTTACTACAAACCACTGAGAGGATCTAGTCTTTTCATTGGAGCTAAAGTTAGTGCTGATAGTTTTTTTTCTACTGGTCTTACAAGTCATTTTCCCACTAAAATGGTATTTCAGTTAGTGAATTATTTAAAGAATTTACGTTCTTTTATTTAGACTTATTGAAATTTTAATTTTAAAATTATCAACATTTTATATTAATGTTAATGATCATATTATCTAGTTTTATATTTAATGCTGAAGGTTTGTAAAGAAATTCAGCACTGCAACAAGCAAATAGTTATAAGTTATATTCAACCAAATAAGTAATCAATACTCATATGTATGTAGGGTATGGACTTGTCTTCAATGCACTATTTAGGGAACTTGATTTATTAAACCAGTTCAAGAACTACCGAAGATATATTAATGTAAAAAATGAACATGTGAAAGAGGAAGAACTGTAGAATATGTTTCTTCATTGGCTGAGAACCACTTGGTGTTCTGCAGAAAAGTGGAAATGTGCCCATTGAAGAGGAGGGGTAAAAAGGATTGTTACGTATAACAGCCATACTTTCTAATTAAATCAGAGGGTACTGGATATTCTTTTGTCTTCATCTGCTGACATTTTAGAAAGCTGATTTCATTCATCCTTCTTTTAATTTTAAAATATTATTTAAAAACAAATATTTTAAAATAAATAACATAATATAATTTGTAATTTGTTCGTAACATAATTTGTAACATTTTATTGGTAAAAAATTAAGAAAAATACTTTGTCATCATTTAATTTATATTTTCTTTTACAAATTTAAAACAATATTTTTTTGTTTATTGATGCAATTTAAAAGGACTCATTGCTATTTGCATTAAAGTGATTTATTAAAACACACAATGGGATTTGCATTAATGATTTAAAAATTCCATATCGAGATTTGCATTAAAGTGATTTGCAAACTGTACATCAGGTTTTGTATGAAAGTCATTTACAATTTACAGATAGCTATATGGAATAAAATGATTTCCAAATCACCACCATGACTTATATTCAAGTGATTACACTATGTGACTTGAATTATTTATTGTTCATATTGACACAATTTATGAATCATACAACACTATTTAATATCAGTTTATTTGAATTTTCCACAACAAGCTTTTTATTTATTTGAATTATAACTAACACATTGTGATTCGTAATCCAACTATTTTAAAATTGCACGTTACAATTTGTATTCACAAGATTTTAAAAACTATACATCTTGGTTTTATTTGCAAACATTGACAATATTAAATTTTAGGATAATGTGAAAAGAGTAACTTTTATCTCTATCCTATTTATAATTTAAAACATATTTGTATCATTCAAGATTTACATAGACAGTAAAAAATAATAAACTTAAAAATTTTTGATCATTTTTCCTAAATTTATTTATTTTCTTATTTAAAAGTGGTTCAAATCTATGTAAAACATAGAGATTCTTTTAACAATATTATTTTAAAATGTAGGCATTGTTACTACCCTAAATAATATGGCTTGTGATTGTGATGATTTTTATGTATTTATGTTTTATGATGTGAGTTTTAAAATGTAGTGAAACTATTAAAAAATTTTTTAAAAATATTTCATATAAATGTAAAGTAAGTCTACAAGCATTTATCTGCAACAAATTGTGCGTTAAATTTGAAAGATTGTGTTAAATTTTTATCTTATTTACAAAAGTGTGTTAAATTTTTATCTTATTTACAAAATTGTGTTTTTAATTATTCATATTATTTTTATATATTGATTGCATGTTAAAATTACAAATTTTATTCTTTGATTATCATCTTCACGTTTTTTTAATGTTTGGATGGTGATTAAAATTTTTCAGAGAGGGGGATGTAACATAAATGGTTTCAATTAATCCTTTTATGTTATTCCTTTATCTAAATCTTTTTCTTTATTTATTACTCGAAACTACACACTCTTTCTCGCTCTTTAATATTCACATCCTGTTTTTTAATCTATTTTCGGCTATAAGTTATGCATTAACATTTTCGATTTCTCCCTTTAATGGAACCGTGAGAAAGACTTTTTCCCTCAATCTATTTAATAGACCTATTATAATTACTCTGTTTTCCTTTTTTCCCTAAAACGAAACATTTTACCTATTTATTTTGCAAGATTTTACCTTCAATTTTGTGTGATTGTTCTCTCTTTAATATTAATTTAATAAATATTGTACCCTTTTCCCCTGCTTAAAAACTGTTTTTATCCTTCCTCTTAGCAACGACATTATATATATATCGATTGGGGGGGGGGATATTATTTCTAACAACAAAAAAATGTATAGTAATGCTCACAGAAGTAAGGTGTTAAAAATTACATATTTAAATCAACGAAAATTTATAGGGTTTAAACAAAAACTTTAATCAAATTTTCATCAAAACAAAAGTATTATAGTACAAAATAAGATTAAGTATTTATTTGGTATTATACTTCAGGTATTATTACTATTTCTTGAATTATTAGAGGTTTTATGAATTTTAAATAGAAAACTTTTTCTTTTCTTTCTTTTTTCCCTTAAAAAAGTCACCTAAGCTACAAACAATTTAAAACAAAATAAATTATAAATAGTGTGTTTAAAAATTTGCGTTTTCCTCTAGTTTTAAAATTTTCCGGTTGCAATAACATTGTATAAAATACTGTGTATAATTTAATGATATAATTTAAATACCTTGGTATAATTTAAATACCATGTACAAATGCATGGCTCTAACGGAGACCATAAAATAAAAGGAAAACTTATTAATCTAAATAAAAACACTTGAAAATTATCGAACTGAAACGACTTAAAAAAGGCACTAGCATAAATATTAAAACCCGGAACTAGCAAGATCAACGGAATTTTAAAAAAAACCTAATGATAAAATTTATGATTCATTTTAACATTTTAATTAAAAATTTTTAGATAAATTTATCAAAAGAATTAATTTATTGAGTGCAAAATGTATTGTGAAAAGAAAAAAAAATCGAACATCGTGGAATCAGAAAAACAAAACTGCAATCTACTTCATTAAATAATCCTATGTTTAAATTAATAAACAATTCTCCTTTTATGAATTTTTTTTTTTGCTGATAAAAACACGATTTTTAATTACAGCAGATGTGATTCCACATCAAGAAAAACTTGCAAATGATACCATACTTCCAAAGAATCAGAATTTATTCAAAAGAAAAAGATTTTATTTTTATTAATCAATGTCAAATAGATAAATATATTTTTCTATGTTCACTGATATGCATGCAATGCATTTTCCCCACCCCCCTCGTAAATCAAACAGAAAACGAAATCAGCATGCCACACCCTTGAGTTTGATTGACGGCCTAGAGGAGAAAATAAGACATTCCTCCCTTCCTTACATTTTCCTCTACTCAACTTCAAGGATGAGTTCAATTTCTGCTATTTTCATTATCGTTCTAGTTTAAAATGGCGGGAAAACCAAGCAAAATTTCACCCGGTTTTCTGGTTTCCCGGTTATCTGGATACCGGATAAATGGTTCTCTACTGTATAATAAATGTATCAAGATTTTAAAAACCTTATAAATACAAAAAAAGAAACTGATCAAAACGTCACTTGAATTTACAATGAAATTGGCAAAAATAAAGCCAGTGGAAAAGGGATTACTCAAATACAAAATTTGTGCATTATATTGAAATATTGGAAGATAATGCAGAATTTTGTATTAATAACCTTTAAAAAAGCAATCAAGAAACAACATAGATTTACAATGGAATCTGCAAATTAAGTGCATCAAAAAGTGATGACACAAATATGCAATTCAAAATTTTCCATTCTTTTAATTTAAAAAAAATCGTGTTCAAAAGTTTCTGCAGGCTGCACCGCATGTAGCCTGTGGGCTGCAGATTGTGCACCCCTATATTTAATTGAGTTTTGCATCATTCATTTTTGTTCTAAGATCTAATGATCATGACATGCTAAACATACTATTATCTAAAACTTATTTTTGTACTAAAAATACTATACTCTTTTTAATGATGTTCTATGTTCTTTTATGTTCGGTTTTCCTTTTTATAAAAGAAAATTCAAATTAAAATCTGAAACTTAAAGTACATGTATATATATAGTAAAATTGCCAAAGATTTAGCTTATTATTTGAGAGCAAAACTGGAACATCAAGGATTTTTTAGGTTTGTGTTCCTGACCATGGTTGTTGGTTAATTATTTTCAAATCATTTAAATTAAATTTTTCTTAAATTTATTGATAAATGCACTTATAAAAAATTATAATTATGCATCAATTCAAACAAAAATTCTACATAGAAATTAGATAAGTAACTAAAATAATAATTATTTTTTTTTATTAAATAATTATTAATTTTTCTGATTTTTAAAATATTATGTACTTTTTTCGAAATAGCCGGCAAAATGTTAAGAAAGAAAGATTTCTAGATAGTACAAAAAGTGAAACATTTAAACCTAAAAATTACTTTTGAAATTTTAATTCTATTTCGTTCTAATTTTAAATGATAATGATAATTTCATAAGATATGTCAGTGTTTAATTCCTCTTAACCAGACCTATTTAACAGAATAGCTAATTTTAAATAATTCTGTATAGTAAAGGAAGAAAGATAGAGTGAAGGAATCTAAAATCTATTTCTCCTTTTGGCTTTTCTAATAAATTTTTTTTTTGTATTACATGAATTGCTATGCACTGAGGAGCAAAATATGACCACGCCCATATTTTTCAATGAATTCCTCTGGATGACGTGGAGGGCACATGATTAAGTTAGAATATTAACTGCAGAAGGTAAGGAATTATTCTCTCATTTACTTTTGTGAGTAATGGGAGAGGCTTCTGATTTTAGTGAATTTGATGGAAAGTAAATCATAATGGCTCAAAAACTCTGAATAAGTATCTCTGAAATTGTAAGATTCATAGGTTATTCACAATCTGTGGTTGTAATTATTTTTGCATCCTGGATAAATGACTATGAAACTAGCAGTAGAATTCGCTGGATGTCCAAGAAAATTTGATGTTGAAAAGAGAACTTCAAAGAAAGAGAACTGCCCTGTTTGGTAATACAAAATCAGTGTCAGAAAATCACTCAGCTGACAGCCCAATACAGGTTCAAGTGCGAGTATTTCAAAACACACAGATGCAGATGCAGTTGGATATGGGACTTTTCTACAGACATCCCACTCCACAGTGGGTCTGGGAACATTGACACTGGATCATAGACAAGTGGAAGACAGTTGTCTAGCTAGATTAAGCATGATTTTTCATTTTTACCTTTGATGACTGTTATAAGGTACGTTGTCTTCCAAGCAAAACAGTTGCTTCCCATTTCTACAGCAGGTCAGATATTGGCAGCTGGGGGTGGTATTTTGCTGTGGGAAGTATTTTCATGGGTGGCTCTGGCCTTGAACTTTATTCCATATTTTGAAAATCAAGTTTGTTGGAAGGAATCATGTTCGGTAGACAATGAGCAATGTTTAATAATTTTAGCTGAAGAAATCATTATACGAAAATCAGTCCCCAAAATCCTAAAATTTTGGATACGTTTGAATTTAAAGTTATTTTCTCTCTTGCAGACATCTAAATTTCATTAATTTTATAGACCCTTTTGCTGATTTTAATAGTATTTTACAAATTTTATGTTAATGTGGTCTGTATTTTACAAATTTAAGGTATCCTTAAATTTCATTTTAAAGAGCATGAAAAATATGTCCGAAATCAGAACATTAACTGATCTTCCATCACTCTTCATAGTTGGAATTCTAATCACAGGTTTGAGTTTTTTTCTGCTAAAATCATTTAGCACTGCTCTTCATCTGATGAATTTGATTTCTGGAAATCATTCCGTATTTTGAAAAATTTTAATAATTTAATTAATGATCTTTCTCAATATTTGGAAATCTATTCAAATTTAATCTTTTGCATCCTGTGGTTCCCACCAAACCCTCTCCTAATTGTTTATTATCTCTCTTCTTTTGTTATCTTTTTCAAACTTGTTTCTCTGTCCCTATTAGTTAAACCACATTGCAGGCGCTTGTCTCTTTACTTCTATACTACCTTATGGAGTTTGGACTCTGAGGAAGGTTCTTGCACATAGAAACAAAGCAATAGTATGTCCATTTCTGTTATTTGATTTGTGCTTTATTCACACTGCCCATTTTTATTTTTGCTTTTAGTAAATAAGAACTATTAACTTTTTACATTATTTGCTTTATAATTTGCTCAGAGTTTAAAATTTCAAAAGCTAAGCGTACCAAAATTGATTAATTTGTTTGTTATTAGTTCTAAAGCTGCAGAAAATGTCAATTTTTTTCTATGAATAATGAATACTTGTGTGTATATCTAGTACTTTTTAGTATTTTAATATAAAAATTATTTTAAAGCATTTTGAGGTTGATTTGCTTTAAACGAATATTTCCATAATTAGTAGTTAAATTTAAAAATAAGTGAAATAATCTACATAACGCAAAAGCTCATAAAACACAAAGCCTCAGGTTTTTAGGCATTACACAGAGCGTGAGGTTTGTGTCCTTTACTGTAACAGATTTTCATGTTAGGAGAAAATAACTTTACCCTGTGTCTTGAAGCTGTTCTAAGTATACAAATCCATGTACTAAACCTATACTAAAATAATAATTGAAAAACTAAGATCAATTTAACCCCATCAAAAAAAAATTTCTTGTTTTACTAAATAGCGAAGTTTTCCTGACCTTCTTTTATGAGAAAATATTTCAAACTTACAGTGTTATTTATTAAAATATGAGGATTATTAAAAGTTTGTAACCACGTGTTTTGCATCAGTCCAATTTGCAGCTTGTAAACAATCCGTCTTGTGTTTTTTTAATCATGAATATAACAATTTTAAATTAAAAATGTTATAACAGACTTAGGTACAGTTTTTGTAGTTATATTACAAGTATTAATTCAACAAATTCAACTTTGATAAGATTTTTTTGATAACTAATTTAATTCCAATTTTTTTTCAGAAAACACCTATTTCCAGACCTATTCCTTTTTTCCAGAAGACACCTAGGACATAGGAAGAAATTAATGTGATCAATACAATTATTTAGATAAGTATTATAAGTTGAACAAATAAGTATTATAAGTTGAAACAAATAAAATTTTTTGTAATATAAAAGAAAAGTTTATAGCTTTTCACACTTACTGATTTAAAAAAAAAACCTTTTTCTTGTTATTCATTGTATTTTAGTTTTATATAGAATCTTAAATTTTTTATAACCTCTATAATAATGATTTATTTGTAAATGAGATTTATAATATGTTATCTTTCTTGAATAAATAAGTACACTTATGATATCTAGATAAATTAAGCGTATATGTATTATTTTTTTATTGCATATTCTATTAAAAAAAGTTATGCATTGTTACAAATTGCACACAAATAGATATGTGTTTACAGATTTGTGTTACTTTTAAAAAGTAAAACTTACTTTAACAATTTTCTTAACTCTTGATAAGATTTGAATTTTCATCATAATTAGTTTTCTTCATCATAACAGTAGAACCTCGATTTAATAAAGCCTGTTAGACTGGGCAAAAATGTATTGAATAATGGGATGGAACTATATGAAGGACATGAAAATTTTCATGAAAACTAATATTTTTATTGCTTTCAAATGTTATTTAAGTACCTAAATATGTTTTGAAACTTAAAAGTAACTTATTTAATAAAGAAACAAAAAATCTTAAATTGTTTTAATGAAGGAATCAGAAATTTTTGTTCAACCTTTTTTTGTCTTAAAGTACTCAGCGGTAAAAGCGGACTCAGAACATCAATATTTCAGGGAAATAGTATTAGAGGATGCCCTAAATTCTGAGTTTTTTTTATATTATTGATAAAGAAAATCGAAGGGAACAAAGCTGCTAAAGCATTAAAAGTGAGAAATCATTATTCATGGGTGGTGTTACGTCTAATTCCAATTTATTCCCAAGTATCCAATTTCATCCCGAGTATTTTTTTTAATGATTAATTTTAAGTTTAGTTTCAATCTTTGCCATAATCAAACAAATAACTTGAAAATTAATTCTACAAATTTAATTAGATTAAGATTTCAATTATTAGCTGTTTAAAAAACTGTTTTTCATATTGCTTTTTAAATTAGATTTTCTTTCTTTTATCCACTTGGATTAGTTTTTTTTTTCCCAATGCAAAAATTTTGATTTTTTTTCCATAACTGTACTCAATGAATTAATTGTAATTACACATTTATAAAAATCTTGAGGCATGAAATGTTGATATTAAAAGCTTGGTTTTTCTTTGGTTAATATTAAAAAATTTGGTATTTTTTGCAATATTATTTCTGCAAATGTTTTCTGCAAACAGTGTATTTTAGGACATAGCAAGTGTTTTCTTGCATGGATTTTCAATCATGTGGTTGTTCTTAAATTCATACTTTAATTGTACGATGCACAAAATAGAAAGGTGAACACCCTGAATAGTTTTTTATCTTAATGATCCGATTTTTATGTACTAGGACTCAATTTTAATGATTTGATATGCTAACTAATTAGTGCAGATGATATTTAGGAAATCAAACATAAAAACTGCTTTTCAGAAAAATATTTATAATTTTTTATTTTATCATTATTATGTTTTTAAATATTTGGATTTATAACCCTCATGAAGAAGTCATATGTTTTATATTTGATTTCTGAAGATCTGTTAAACTTGCTTCGTTCAAATGTTATGTTTCGTTATTTAAAATTACACATTTTAAAATGATGCATTAAAATTTATATGCATTAAAATTTAAAATTTTTTACCTATTATTTATTCAAATAATAAAGAATGACTGCAAATTGTTTTTTACCTAGAATTTCTTTTAGATAAATGACTTTTATAATTGTGTACAAAAATGTTTTGATTTGCTTAAAAATTCTCGAGATGTAGAGAAACATGTCCTAGTTCATGTAAATCTAATCAAAACTTAAAATGTTATTCTGGGTACTCGCTTTTTTATTTTGCATACTGTACTTTCTTTTTTTGTTGTTGTGTTTATCAAACTGTTTAATATTCTTATTTAATATGTGATATTCTTATTTAATATGTATAATATTCTTATTTAATATGTATTGCTATTTTTCGTAATCGTGCTTCATCTTTGCATTTGCAATTTAAAGAATTTTCAGTCTTTGCTATATTCTAATTTCACACCTATGAATACAAATAATAAAGAAAATATGGAATTAAAAATATATAAGTTTAAACAATTTAGGGAAAGGGCTCTAACGATGAAATAGAGCAAAAATAGAGGAATGATTTCGAAATGATAAGCAAAAACCTCTTCCAGAAAATTCTTGACAACTGCTAGCTTAGAATCCCTGACCTCTGCATTGAAATATTCTTGCATTTACCCATTGCATTTTTGGGATATAACTGCGATTTCAATCTTACTCTTTTCTGATATTTAAATTTGTTTTATACAGGTATATAAAAATTCCTACCCAGGTGGGTTTTAATGGGTGTTTTGGGTTTAATTGATTTTATTTATGTTTTATTTGGGAGGAGGAAAATGGGCAAATACATAGTATATCTTGAATATCCCAAAATAAGTTTATTACTAATTCTATAATTGCACATTTTGTTAATATTGGAAGATATATTAATCATAAAATTTATTTAAAAGGCTAAGAAACAAAATCATTATACATAATGTGTAATCGACATATCATACTTTTTAGATAATAACTAGCCAAAAAAATTTCAATTACAATAAATTAATTACATTTATTTAAAATCAGTCATATAGATATTTTACAATATAGTTTAGTGATAACTACTTAAAATTCTTTCAGAAAAACACCAAATATTCTTTCCAACCCAGTATCTCTTCTTTTTTGAATTTTTTACATTTTAGTTTTGACCATTATCAGTAGACACAAAAAGCAATGGTCTTTACCACTACTTATAAAGCACAATTGCAATTGAAAAAGTGACATTGAACATTTCTATAAAAAGAGGGGAAAAAAAGCTAGTTTGGCAGCTAAGGAACACATGTTTTCTACATGTAAACTTGTTTGGTTTAAACTGAGGAACAGTTTCAGACTCAAAAAAACTTGTTCGAGTTTATAAACATTTAAAGAGTGCATGAGAACCCAAGGAGCCTAATACCGAACTTAAAACTAAGTAAACTGATGTGTTTGCTAAATGTGCCATTCATTTTATTTTTACGTAGCCATTATCTAATTACTTACCGAATGTAAATTATAGAATTTTCTTATAAAGTAAAAATTGTGATATCATTGAGATTAAAAAGTTCTTGGAAAAGACAAAGAATGTAATATTTTCAATATTGCTATGTTAATATTTTTTATTCTTTAAAAATTAATATATTTCCACATATNGCTGTAATTATCTGTAATCAATTACAGTTGTAATCGATTACTGTAATCAATGGCCAACTCTGATATATTTCCACATATAATGAAAATTTCAAAAATATATCTAAAATTTTTTGGTCAGTAAGCAAGGTTGCTTTAAAGTAAACAAGGTTACTAGCTTAAAAATGGTAGAAGAGTTTGAGAAAAATAGTGTGGAAAATTATGTTGCATAATATGCATGTGTGAAATTGTAAAAATAGCTTTAATAACAGGAAAAGAATGGTTGGCTAACCAAATCCTTTTTGTTCATCATTTTTGAAAAAAAAACCCTTCTTAAATAAGGGTTTGATATCAAAACTTTAAGTTACTCTTTGTGTGGTTTTCTGTAAATGATAAAAAAATATTGATGGAACTTTTTATTTACTTATGAAATCTTATTGTAAAATTTTGAATTGTTTTATGAGTTAAATTCTCAAATTATAAATTGGTAAGATTTTTTGCCCATTAGAACTTCTAAAAAATTTTTTTAACAGTATTTTTATTTAAACAAGTTAATAAAATGTTTTCATTTTATTTAAAAGGTTTTTATATGTTTTTTACTTTTAGATAACTAACTTTTTATCATCATCCAAGAATTCATGCAAGTAATGTGAGTATATAAGTTACTTTAATTATATAAATTAATTTTCATGAAATTAGAATATAATGGTGTGTGTTATATAAATAGTTTGTGTTCTAACATGTTTACATGTTCAGTTAGTTTTTCATTGTTTTCGTTGGGTAAGAAAGACTGGAGTTAGTTTCCACAAGAATCAGTCTGTACAAGACCCATTTCATGCCTTTAATAAGATGTATCAGATCAAACATTATACATTACATATGTTTTGATGACATAATAATTTTTATTTCTTGAATTTGTTGAGTTAAAATTTTGATTTTCATTTATGATTTTTATGAGTTGTAAATAGTGCATTATTGGCATAAACTTTTCTGTGACAATTTATATAGAAAACCTTTGTTTTAAATATTTAAAAAAAGAAAAGAGTAATAAATAAAAATAGCATTAATATGGGTTTCCATGTTATGGGCTCAATTGTCCTTGTTGTTTCATGAAAGAAGCAAGCCAACTGGCAGTAGCTAAAAACTCTTTATGCTTGCCGTTATTACCAATCTAGTTTTTCAAATGATTATTACCTCTAAAAATTCTAGCTGATTTTTCCAAACTCATAACTAAATTTTAAGCTTAAAATTCAATATTTGTTATTTGTATATTTGTTTTCAATTTAGTTTCTGTCTGACAACTGGATGCTCAAGAAAAATAAAAAAATGTTTTTTTCTTCATAAGTAATTAAAGAAATTTAGTGCCTTAATACAATTTTAATTTATAACATAGAAATACTCCTCAGGACACTGTAACAGTTACAATTCTCAACTGAACTGAATTATTATTTATCAAAATTAAACATTTTCAAACAAAATAGAAAGAGGTTAAACATAATTTATGTAAATAATGTTATTTTTTCAATTAATTTCACTTAAGAATTTTGAGAAAATGTAAAATTATGATGACATATTATAGCAAAACTCTTCCTAATATTTTTTTAAAAATATTTTTACTCTACAAGGGGCTCTGAACCAACGAATTCAACTGCATATTTAGAGGAATGATAAAAAGTTTCAAGAGAATATAAGTTTATCAAAAGCTGGCTTATTGTCCTATTTGTCTCATTAAAGTAGGGTACAAGAAAATAATTTATGTTAGAAATAACTATTAAGCTATTGCTTTATAGTACTAACAAAAATATGTGAATGATGTAAATTTAATTTAAAATACTACATAAA